AGTGATGGGAATTTCTTGTTGTATTAATTGTCAGAGCACCTGGACTTTTGTTTAGAGGGAGGGTTTTTTATTTCATTATAAACAAAAATAATACTAGACAGGAAAAATGTAGCACTGAAAAATTCTGGGTGGCGGGTAGACACACCTGATTTTCCACACAGATTGTGTTGGCTTGTTTTTCCTTTTGTGGGTCATTCGTGGACAGGGAGATGTGTGGGGCGATTCTGACAAGTAGCTGCCGCCTTTGTGCCTTTCTGGCTTGATGCTGGTCACCTCTTGGATCCTTTGCATGGTCTCGTCCTCAAACCGTATCATGGTTATATTCTCTTGCCTCGTTGTGTCCTTGCAGCAAATTTCCCTGAAGTTTTGTGTATGCACGAGCTTAACAGGTAGAGGAGATTGATCAGGGAGAAAATGGTTGTGGAGACTTGCTTGGCTTGGTCGCCACTATTTATTGCTTTCCTGATCCCTGTTGGTTTGAATATTGTGGCGTTTGGGTGACCTGGTCACCACCGGTGACACGTGATCTTCCTCTCCCAGTGGCCATGACATCCCACGTGGTCTTCACAGACAAAGGGCAAGATGAGGAAGAGGCCAGGAGTTTTAGGTGACTTGTTTGCAGACCTGTGAGCCTGATTTTGGGCCTTTTAATCTGAAATTAGAAGAAATCAGATTTCATGCTTTTGTGACTTAAAAATTTTCATAGCGTTTCTGCATTTTAATCTTCTCTGATTTTTCCATTTTTTTCAGGCCAGTGGAACTGGCAGATGTAGAAGGTAGCGAGTGCTTTGTAGGGAAGTTACTAGACATATTTCATTCCTACTCAGGACAGATGTGACTACTGCTTTTGCATTATGGTAGGAAAATCTGCAAGCTTTCTGTTCTGCAGAGCGTGATCAGAACTACGTGGGCTGAAATCCATTGAAGTTACTTCTTTTGGCAGAAGTAACTGGACTGAAAGTGATTGAGAAAGCTAGTTTCATCTGAGTTGCAAGGGAAAGGAAGTGAAATATGGTTATGAAAAAAATGAGTGTTATTCCATAAAAAGTAAACCATAGTGTCATCTTTCTCCCAATGTTCCTGCAGTGGGGGCAAGAGGACATGATAGAATTGTTTCTGTTTAAATACTTGAGTCACCACCTAGTTTTCATGGCAGGTGCTTTGTTTTTCTTCAGGCTCAGACTCATAACGTTGCAGCTAACTGTCATTTAAGAGAGGGCATAATTATTTTACAGAAAAATGGAACCATTCCCAGGGTAAACCCTTTGTTGAGCCTTTTGAAGGTGACGGGTTGCAGGATTTTGGAGGTTGGTGTTGTGTCAGGGAGGCATGAGAGAACCGGCTAGTATTCTTTTCTAATTACTGTTTTTTTAATTCTCACTGCTTAAGAGACTTGTACTGCAAATAGAAAAAACTTCCTAACAGACTCTGAGGATCAGATTTACAATTCAGGAAAGTTCATGCCTGCACAATGCGATATCACTTTCTTTTTGCTCTTCTTTCAGATCATGCCAAAAACTTTGAATCCTCAGTGGAGGGAGCAGTTTGACTTTCATCTCTATGAAGAACGAGGTGGAATTATTGATATTACCGTGTGGGACAAGGATGCTGGCAAAAAGGATGATTTTATTGGCAGGTTTGTGCAATTACAGCCACCTTGTTCTCTGGGGATGAGAGCAGATGATTAAAATGAGCCTTGCCGTTGAAACTATTTCTTATGACCATTTGTTCTTGCCTTTATTTATTTATTTTTAAAGGTGGGGGAGGATTTTTTATAAAGTATCAGTACAGTTTGCTGTATTGATGCAATTTTTTACTTTGAGGGTGTAAAATAATTTTTATTGACCAGTAGGTGGCAGCTTTTACCAATTGTTAGACAGGATTTTCCAACGCCATGTTTCTAGCAATAAAGATGCAGGAGGTTCCATACAGCAAAATTATGTACTTATTTTTTTAATCTACATGATAACTGAAATGAGTCATGAAGGACTTCACAGAGCTTTTGGGGCAAAGAAATGACATCATTCACCTAATTAATTTTCAGGAAAAGTGAATCTGTGGTATCTTAGAGTTCAAGAAATGGTGTAAATCTGTGTGGCTATGCTCCATTTTACTGTGTAGGAGGAGGAAAGAGGATAATGTTTTCTAACAATGGCATTAACTGTTAGCTAAGAGGGGGAAAAAACTGTCTTGTGCTTCTGGATACTGTACAAATCAGAAGAGTCAGATACTTGTTTATGTCGTACTTTAATCGATATCCATACAGTCATAGTAACAGTAATCATTATTAAGATGTCTTTTGACAGTGAATATAGGTTGTTGGTGCTTTCACTGCGGCGTTGATGATATTAACTAGTAGAATTACTTTCTTCATAGTTAAAATCAGGAATGGAAATCCCACAGACCAAGCCATGTACGTTTGATGTCAGTGTGGTTATGTTTCCACTGACCTTTTCCTCCCTGTTGTTCCATCTACGGTAATGGCTGTCTTTATCAAATTAGATCAGTTGGATAATAGTCTGTGTTTATTTCCTATCATAAATTGTGAGAACGCAGAACACATGCAGAGTCCGTGCAAGCAAGCAGCTTTAATGCCAGACAAAACCACTTGTTAAATGTATACACCGTAGGGCTTTATTTTACTATGACGAAACCCTATGGATGTGACGATATAGTTATATTTGAAGTTTACAGTGTATTTTTTCCCTTGCTGGATTTCAGTGGGTACGTATGGTAGCAATAACTTTTTTTTTTTTTGAAGTAAAATAATCGTTTAGTCCTATGTCAACACGTGATATACCTTGGGAAATAATTCCTATTTCCTGCTTAACTTCAACCTTCTTATCCAAAAGGTGTTGAGATTCAGAGGTTTCACCTGTGGGTTTTCAGAACACTGTCATCAAAGCAGCACTTACGTTGTTACTGTTACTAGTAATTATAAAGTGTTTTTAAGAGCATTGTATGAAATAAGACACTGGTTTTGCTCCAAGGCACTTGAAACTCAAATAAGAATGTGATAGAGAAATAAAAGAAGGAAAATTTGTAACTTCATAGAGAAATGAAAGAAGGAAAATTCATAACTTCAAACACATGAACTGCTTAAGTAGCTTTTCAGATACCTAAAAAAGTTGTATGTCTCAGGTGTACATATATGTCTTTGTAGTAACCGCATGCTATCATGTAAGTTACTTATTTCAACATGTTATTTAGGTCCAAAAAATAGGTAACATGAGAAATCTTCTCTCTAAGAAGAATGCTTGAAGCCTTTAGCATTTTCCAGTGGGAGAATATTGGTTTGTTTTGTTTTCTGTCATTTTCCTTAATAGATGTAATTCTCACGTGTTCCAGAAAAGATTCTTGGACCAAGCTAATCTGTATTCCTTCTGCAGAATGTAACTGATTTTAACAAAATCGGTGGTATTTTACCTGAAATCTTGCTGCTCTTGATTTTTGTTACCTCTCTGCTGACAGAGTATGTATAATCCCTCCTCAGTTTGTCCTTTCAGACACTCTCATTTCACCTTCTCTTGGTACCTTATCTCTGGGTAATGAAACCTGCAAACAAATTCTTCTCCATGAAGATTTCCATGAAAAACTTTGTCATTTGTCAAGTTCAATCTGAATACAAAAATAGGTCTTAATATTCCCCCTCCCTGATATTCTTTTCCAGTCACTATGGATAAAAATCACTGACGCCTGACAGCTCCACTTTCTATAGATGTTTCTTCCCCCATTTCTCCTTTCGAGGCTGCCTCTAAAAGCTGGAAATACTTTGGTACAGACAGTGCACACTTGTTCTGTGTGTTACACTAAAGGTACATTAGTTTTGTAAAGCACGACTGAGTTGTGCTCCATGACTAAGGCTCTCTGGTTCTCAAGGCACATATAATCAATTGAATATTTTGATTCAAGTTCCAGCAAAAGTGATAATGAGGCTGTGGGAGGGAAACAAAAGACTTCCTGGTAGCCTTCCAGCATTGCTCACTGTTGGAGAGCAATCCGTTTCACCTTACTGTGGTTTTCCCCCTTTTGTGAATAGTATGCAAGCAGTGTCTGTTATATAGGAATATTTTTATGAAATGTAAATTATAACAATTATTTCTTGAAGGTGTCCTGCCTGGCTAAAGCACGGTTAGGGAGAAGCCATGCTTCACTGAAGAGATTCTAGTCATTCAGGGAAACAGCAGAGAAGATGGAGAAAACAGAAGAAAAAGTTTGTTAAGGGAACAGTTCTCACCTCTCATCCACCACGGTGGTTTTTTGTGTGCTCCATATTCACCTGCTTGCAGGGCATGCATAAAGGTCAGCAGAATTTCTCATGCAAAATAGGCGTTACCAAGCTGCTTTGACAGGGTGTCATCGCTGAAACTGGTTCACTGGTTCCAAACTGAGCGGGCTGTGGGACAACAGGGTTGCCGGGTACAAGGTTGAAGGGACACACTCCAGGTCCTTTTTGGAAGACAGCTTGAGAAGTCCCCTTGACTTGAAATATTCTTCTTGTGCAAAACTTGGAAACATGCAAATTTTATTCCAAAGCAGAATACCATAACTTTTCCTGTAATGATACTCTGTGTCAGATACACTTCAGTGAAATAAGAGCAAGATAGAATCATTTAGGTTGGAAAAGACCTTTAGGAACATCAAGTCCAACCGATAACCCAACACTGTCAAGTCCACCAATAAACCATGTCCCTGAGCACCACATCTACACGTCTCTTAAATCCCTCCAGGAATGGTGACTCCACCACCTCCCTGGGCAGCCCCTTCCGATGCCTGACAGCCCTTTCCATGAAGAAATGTTTCCGAATCTCCCATCTAAACCTCCCTTGGTGGAACTTGAGGACATTTCTTCTTGTCCTGTCACTTGGGAGAAAGGACCAACCTCACCTCTCTGCACTCTCAAGCAGTTGTCGGGAGCAATAAGGCCACTCCTGAGCCTCCTCTTCTCTAGGCTGAACACCCCCAGCTCCCTCAGCTGCTCCTCACAGGACTTGTGCTCCAGACCCTTCCCCAGCTCCATTGCCCTGCTCTGGACACGCTCCAGCACTTCAAATGTCCTTCTGTTTCCAATCTTACTGTTGATTTGTATGAGGAAATTCTAGGCTTCACCAGAACTCAGTTTCATCATTCAGGAGATTAGATTCTGGCATTCTTCTCAATATGATTCAAACAAACAAAACAAAATACCTAAGATAAAACATTCCAGAACCAGAGCTATGAAGTCTGGAAGTTCTTTTACTGGAAAGCCCCAGCAGTTAAAGCCACAGGGGCAGCCATGTGTTCAGATAAGCATGTGGAGTTGCATGAGCAATATGTTATTACTTCATCTGATAAGTAGTAATACATATGTATGTGTGTATGGTGTTCAGTTTGAGTAACATTTAATATTCACATGTTTTTGCTATGAGTAAATCTTTTCTGTTCCATATTGAGTTGATACATTCCTGTGATTAAAAACATACTGCAGTGACTTAATGTCAGCAATACTAAGATCAAAATGAAGGTGAAATGATTTTAATCTTCATGTAATTATTTAACTTTCTTATCATCTGCGTTTTTGAAGGCGATCCTGACTGTCACCTTTACGATAATCAGCTAATAAATCCTCATGATTGTTACACCTTTATGCATAGCAGTAATCTGAACAAATTGGCTGCTGACAGCTGCAATAAATTGCCAAGAATGAGTGCTGTCAGAGAACAAGTTGTTTCTGTGAACATACAGGATAAGTAAATCCCATGTCATGCAGTTTTATTCAGCTGAAGTTATTTGCAATCCAGTACAGCAGGATTTATAGCATTATTTATTGGTATGAAAAATTTGTGTTTATCTTTAATATGACATTGACTTTTACTCATTTTTTGTGCCAGGGAATTCCTGTTGAGTTCCTCTGTATCTGTTTTCATCAGGACTCATAGATGCTGCTATCTTTTTCCCATCTGATGCAAATTAAGGACAAAAGACCTTGTGTATAGTATATTCATTAAAACTATGTATTATTTTTTTTCTGAAGGAAACTGAAACATCCTATCTATTTTCATGAATATTGTCATGAAAATTCAGAATGATTCTTTGTGTGCATGTGTATGGGTATACACATAGAGCACATTGTACTGGATGTTATGAAATAGGAAAATTAAACTATTGAAAATTAAGTATTTAGGTTTTCAATGTTCAGTCTGCTGTGTCATGTCTATTTAGTTTCTGGCAGAGTAACGAAATCATTGAGGGTTTTTTGGGTGCACATAAATATGAGCAATATGCAACCTGTGGTGCTGCATTATTAATCTGAAAGCACTGGGATGCGCTACTCAAACTTCCGAACTGAAGTGGGAGTTTTATATAAGAGGTTTATGTCTTTTTCAGTTTTATTTTTTTCCCAGTGAAATTTATCGAATTTTACTGTGGTGCTGTAAAGCTGTGTATGGGTAATCCAGCATGAACGTAAAGTTGTGTGAAGGACACTAAATGTGTTACTGCTAATGTTTCTTCCCACATCTTTTTCTAGAGATGTTCTGGAGACTGTGATTTATATTAAAATACAGGCAAAATTTCCTTTCTAAAATACTGTTGCCTGAGAAAGGGGCTTTGAATAGTAGGTGTGAAAGTCTGTATTTATGTTGAAATTTATGAATC